ACTCCGCAATGGAAGACGACCCCATCATCGCTGAGGCGAATGCTGAAGCCCTAGCTTACGACGACGAGGGATTTTATGGACAAGAGTTTGGCTTCTACGCGTCTGCAGTAGGCGAGTCACCAAGCGCTTGGGGTGGCTTCTTCGGCCCATCCGGGATGGGTCTGGGCCGTACAGTCAGCGGTCGCAACGCTGTAAGAGAGCCAAATCTAACGCCCATCACCGAACGCAGCGAATACAGCACTCGCAATTCGTTTATTAGTCTTAACCACTTCCGCGACGGAAACCAACCAATGTCTAGCCCTGGCCTAGCGCAACTCGCTCGTATGAGTCCGTATGGCTTCCCCGGAAACGAGGAGGAAGACATGAGTCTTGACACTCTGCTGAAGCTGCGGAAAGGCGCTTTTGGTGGAAGTGTTGCCAGTCTGCCAGTCAGTGCGGCTAACAGCCCACGCAACTCTTCTCCTATGGGCATGCAGTTCGTACCGCGAGCGTCAAGCCCCGTCGGTAACCGCATGAAGGAACACCCTTCTAGCTCGCTCGAGAGCTCTTACTCTTCCAAAAACGTTTCGTCCGACTATCACAACGACGACAACGGGGACGAGGAAGACGACGATGGTCTCATGGACGCTGTCAACGGCGTGTACGAGTCTGGTCGCTCTAGTGAAGACGACTACGATGCAAACGACAGACCAGGAAGCCCTACCCTCACATCCAGCGACTACAACAGCCTCTCAAGTCCAACCGGGTACGGCGTAGGAAATGAAGCACCTCTCCTCCCTCCCATCTCCGAACTCTACGCCCAGCACAACATGAGCCTAGCCATGTCCCCAGGCGGCCTATCCGCCACTTCACCCTCCAACATCTCCCTCCCCGTCTCCCCCTTCCCCATGCCGCTCTCCTCGCCATACCTCCCCCAACACCAAAACCGTTCACCGACGAAGCCGCCTTCAATCGACACGTCGCTGTCCTCGCCGTCTGCGCCCACGGTTTCTACACAAGGTCAAACGCGCAGACAGAGTATGGGGCTTAGTCCTATCAGTAACTCGAGTCCTATTACGCCGAACGGCGGTGGTGGGAGTGGATGGAATCGTGGGCATAGTCGCAAGGGGAGTGCGGCGGATAGCGTGACGTATGTGAGGGAACATGATGAAGCTGGAGAGGGGAGGTGGGTGTTGGAGAGGAGGAGGACGGCAGAGAGTGGCGAGTTGGAGTTGATTGGTAGGGAGATTGTCGAGGGTGGAAGGATTTGAGGGGGGATGTGTATAGATTGCATTCTTGGCGTTTTTCTTCTTCTCATGGCATGGAGCTTCTGGGCGGGTTGAGGGTATACTGCACATGCGTACGCGTATGCACGCTTTTGAACGCGCGCCGCTTGGGCGAGATAGGCTGGTCCTTTTGACGAAAGATAAGAGATGGAGATGAGGACTTTGGGTGGCAGATTAGATACCAAGATTAGTATAATCATGAATGTTTTTCACGCGCATCTGAAGCTTCTCACACATTGGGGGCTCGCACGTGAACGAGTGGAGAATGGGGGACGGAGATGGGATGGAGTGGAGGTATGTAAACGTTTTTTTGTGCGGGTAGAACTCTTGCTTCTATATCCCACACTCTGGCAGTGCTTTACCAAAACGTCGCTGAACACAGCCTATGGCTGCATTCCTTATTTCCAAAAGTGAAGATCCTGCATATTATGGAGTTCCTTCGCGGCTCTTCCTCCTCAACATCTTCCACGTACACAAAAGCGCTTGATGAAAGCACATGGTAGAGACGGCTGCTCCTCTTGAAACATGGAGTTCGGCGCGAGTGTGTTGATCTCTAGACCACCTGGTTTGAAAAAAAAAGATTGAACAGATACCCCAAGACACCATTGACTGAAGCTTTTGAAAGCTGTATGTTGGCGGAGGGTGGCGCAAATCTCAATAAAGTCTTGTTAGGTCGATTTGGATCGATTGCAGGTCTCTCCGTCTCCCATTTTGTCAATCCAACTGTTTCTCGAAAGCGACTGACTCGTAGAAGGAACCAAGAGGAGCGAGACACATGCCGTCGTCTTCAAGCGTTTTGAACTCGAAGCAAGGCGCAAGAACATGACTCTCGTCTGCCTGTCTTTTTGGTAACCCAGTAGAAGGTAATGTAGAAGAAGAGGAGAGGCATTCGCGGCTCATATCATGCGAGTAGTTGACAAGCAATTCGGTGCCATAATTTTCATATTGACATCTTTTTAGAGTCGCAAAGCACGAGTCTGTCGTGGAGAACAAAGGCATGAAGAACCCGACAGTGTCTTTTATACTCCGCTACTGGGCATTTGGTTCCCATGAGATATATCCGCAAAGCTTTTGGAGTGTTTTGGAAGGAAGAAGGCGGAAGAAGACAGATAGTCATTCATGAATGGTTTCGACGCTATCGGTCTGTCCTCGATGGCTTTTTGGGGCGCAGGCCTTCACGATGAGCAAGCCAGCGATGTCAGCCCTTGGTTGTTCATCAGGTAAAGAAACCCTCGTCAAAATTGTGATAGGTATTGGTATCAGATGCTACGCTATGCAAGTCAAGTTGAAGCAACAGAACGAAGAAAAGAATCATATGACGTGATGGCGAAGTAAATGTGCCAAGATATCACCACGCCTGCTACCTGCCCTCCAATCTTAGTCGATCCCTACTCCTGCCCTCATCGCGCCTCGCAACAAGGAACCACAGACTGCTGATCCAGCAGAGTATCACACCAATCCAAGTCTGCGCTGGACCCTTGAACAGAGTGATGGCAACAAGCTGGAACGCGCTTCGGGGAACAGCCACAAACGTCGCCGTCAATGGAGACGTCGCCTTGACAAGCAGCAAAGTGCCCGAGAAGACAGCCCACGAGCCCATACCACCAAAGAGCATCATAGCCCAGAAGAAGGGCACGTCGAGGAAGGGGATGTTGTGGTATATGTGCGGGACTTCGCCGGAAAGGATCACGATGGGTGTGAGGAGCATGAGGGACACGAAGGACGTGTAGTGCAGTGTGCGATAGAAGGCACGAGTCTCCTCCCTATTGCCTGGCTCTTCCGAGCCGCTGGGGTACCCAGTGAGCACATCGCCGGCAGGCACGAGACCAGCGACGATCTTGCGGTATGTGCGGAGCAGAAGGATCGGGTATAGCGCGACGAAGATGGATGAGAAGACGCCGGCGACGACAGACTCCCAGGTAACGCGGACGTTGGAGCGGTATGAGGCGAAGAAGAGGTTGAGGGTTGCGACGAGAGCGGACGAGAGGGTGCTGCCGTTGACGTTCTCTTTCTGCAGGACGCAGGCGAAGATGATGGCGAGCGGGGTTATGCCGATGCGGGCGAGTTGATAGACGGGAAGAGGTGCGTAACTATTCCATGTTAGCATTGTAGAAGATAGGGATGTGATGGGCGCCCTACGCGAACGAGAAGTTGCTGAGCAGCACCTTCACGATGAAGACTACCGCAAGTGGGAGCACCTGTTTCGCGATTTGAAAATCAAACTCGAACAGCCCCCCGCCAGCAATTCCACCAGATCCATTTGACAACCACCGTGCAAAGGCGTATATGCCAGGCTTCTTATTGCCTCTGAAGGCTCCTCCCTGAGGCGCAGCGGGTTGTGAGGGCGGCACAGCGGCGCCGAAGCCTATGAAGTGTAGCGGATTACTGGAGAAGCGTAGGAGGCTCGACACGAGTATGAGGAGGATATGTGTGATGATGAGTTGGGCGTACGATTGGGTGAGGGGAAATGGGAATCTAGTGCTGTTAGTAAACGTCTCATTCGCATTCGTGTTCTTCTCACTTGTAGACGCCGGTCAGCATGATGAAGCGGTTCATCAGCAGTAGTCCGAAACTACATCCGCCGACCCAAAATACCAGCAATCCCACCCAGACCTGCCAGCCCCTCCATGTGCCGAAAAAGAAAGCCCCAGGCCCGCCTTGTTGCCAGAAGCTGCGGAAGGCATGGCTCCCTCTTCCTACGTCGTGACTGACCAATGGCCGTATACTGCTCGCCGGCTCATATTCATCGTCTTCGTCTTCACTTTGTGCGGCGCTTCGATTGCGCGGGTATGGGCTGGTGCTGCGGCTGCCAATATCGATCAATGGTACCGCAGGCTGCAGCTCAGACAGTGAGTTCTGCGTCGAATGACTCCGCCGTGACGTCTCCATTTGCGCGTAAAACTCGACGTCAGAGTGATCGGTATCGTCGATTGAGCTAGCGCTATTGTTCCGCCGGTGTACGTTGCTGTCCTTTCTCTTTCTGTCTTTTGGCAGTTGTACGGGCCCCCGCGATAGGTTGCTGAGGAAGTCGAGGGGTTTGCGGAAGCTGTTCTGGGTCGTCCGAGTGAATGCGCGTGACGAGTTCATCGTGTCCGCTTCATTGCGGAGAGAGAAGGGAGCGTCAGCATGCTGAGGGTGTGCAATTGGTAAAAGTTGAGCACAGGCAGGTACGAAGGCCGGGCGACGCTGGACCCTGGCTTAGGCTAGGGGAAGTGGGCCCGTTAATTTCTGGGGACGCGCTGCCTCAACACCATCGACATGGCTCACAACATCTTTGTACATACTTGCTCCCTGTTATCTCTATCGGTTGCTGATGCACGCATTTCCGATCCTAGTTAGGACTGTGGCTGACCTACCTGCCAGGCAGCAGCGGCTGACCCCGCATGTTTCCTTGTCACCTTCCATCGACAGACCATCGCTTTTTTGGGATCTCGCAATTGATCACAATGTCGGATGAATTACTTTGCGATCCATGCCGAAGGCTTCTCGGAGGACAAAACGTTTTGCTGGACCAGACTGACGGATATATTGGATACTTAAACTTCGTTCACCACTCAACAGCCGAGTCGTTCCACCAAGCTCTTGCCTTGCCTTGCAGTATATGTATCCGCCTCCGAGCCGACTTTGACCGCACAATGCGTACGAACCATCGCTCGATATTCTCGTGTGTATAAACTACTAACCTGTTTGTAAAAAGGGTATCAATCGAGTGGTGCATTCGAAGTGGCGCCGACTATGTACCACTTGACTCCACTCCAAAAAGGGGAAGATATCGTGGAAGACCTAATCTACCTTCTTTTCAGTTGCTCCGAGATAAAAATATACGTCTTTGCGACGCTTGCAAAAGCCACCAATGCCTCGTGGCAGGCTCCCTGGATAGCTCACCCCGACTTTCCAGACGCACATAGGAGTCTGACTGCAGATAACACTGGCAGCGATATTTGCATTGAGTTTGCCTTGTCTCAATTGCAGCAATGTAGAGACACACATCCCAAGTGTCGGAACATGGCTCTGAACAAAAAGGAGGTGAGCGAATTCCTGCCTACAAGACTAATAGATGTCGGCTCCACTGGAGCTGCAACGGTTCGTCTCTTGGAAACTAACAGCTGTGCCACGAACATACCATACATCGCGTTGTCGCATTGTTGGGGCAATTCTCAGCCTCTCCGATTGACGCGAGCAACCGCAGCGTGTCTAACAGCAGGTATTCCCTTGGTCGTTCTACCCAAGACCTTCCAAGACGCCGTTCATGTGGTTAAAAAGATGCAAATTCGACATCTTTGGATTGATTCGCTGTACGTCGCATTCAATCAATCCGTCTTTGCTTGTACCCTTACGTGCTCTAGATGCATTGTCCAAGACGACCCACAAGACTGGCAAACAGAGGCTTCTCGCATGCACAATGTCTATAGTCGAGCGGCTTGCTGCATTGCAGCCACGGCCGCTAAGAACAGTCATTCTGGTCTCTTCTTTCATCGAGATCCGCAGGGTTTGTTACCAGTACGAGTCAAGACCGCCCGCGCTTGCATTTGGGGGAAGAAGACAGACAAGCCCTTGTCAACTTACAGCATAAGCTGCAAGGTGGTCCTCCCTGACATAGCCATCGATGCTGCACATTTGAACCACCGAGCCTGGGTTGCGCAGGAACGTTACCTGAGTACCGGAACCATCCACTTCACGCAGGAGTTACTTTTCTGGGAGTGCTACGAACGTATAACAAGTGAACAAGATCCCACAGGTGGTTCTATTTCAGAAACGTCAAACCTTTTCGAACAATTTACTGTTCAAACGTTGAAAACGCGGGTGTGCGAATACAAAAGCCTACAAGTCAATCCGTCTTCAGATCCAACTGATCTCGAGCAGCTCGACGCCTCCTCTAGGATTTATAGGGAGTGGTGCGCTTTCAGGACCGCCTATTCAGGCTGTGCTTTGACGAAAGAGTCAGACATACTCGTTGCGCTGAATGGTGTTGCAAGAGATGTTGCTGAAACAACGAATGACACTTTGGTCGCTGGCTTATGGCGAGGCAGGCTAGTTCAAGACATGGCGTGGAGGCGATCCATCGAAGAGGGCGTTCGTGAGGCCGATACACCCTCAATACTTTCTACGTGGCGCGCGCCCACTTGGAGCTGGGCGAGCATAAATCGTGCAGTAGTGGGCCACCAATTGTGGTGGGAAGACGACTTGTCTTTTACTCGAGACATGGCCGTTGTAGAGAACATATCTGTAGACCGAAAACGTTCCGGAGAACTCATCAACGCTTCCATTGCACTGAGATGTCGCCTGATCCCGATATCCCCTCCAAACCCAGACGATTGGGTATGGATGCCATGCGGAGGCACAATTGTTCTCGATGATTGTACCATCAAGAACCCAAGGGACCTGGGCCATGAACTCAGTTTGGTTATCCTTCGCCACTGCGCATACGAGGAAGACGGTGGCGTACAAGGCATACTGCTTCTACCGAGTCGTGTCAAAAGTGGCAGCTATGAACGAGTAGGATATTTCGAATTAAACGACGAATTTGACAACTTCGACTTCAAGAGACGGACACTGCAAAATATGCTTGATGAATATCATAAGGCGCAAGAAACAACAATCGAGCTTGTATAGTACCCTAATACAACAGCATGAGATACTTCTCAGCTATGTGTCTATAAGGTTAGAGACATTACCAAACGAGCAGTGAAAAGTGCGAGCACTCAAATACGTGACATTGTGTACATACAACGTATGCTTGTCACATGTCCCCTACAGGCACGCACTCAACCATCCCCTCAAACCGGCCCTACATCCCCAGAGCGGAAGGTCGCCAACCCCCGCCAAGACACCCACCTGCCTTCTTAATGAGGCTTGTCCTACACTCATCAAAGGCTTGTTCTGCATAAATCCTTATCTCAAATCTCCCAAAGCATGTGGATCTGGTTGTTTGTGCGCCTTCCCAGAGAAGGGCCGACCCGTTGGTAGGATTGCGGACATGTGCCTGTGTTGGTGGCGTTGTATCTGCTCACACCCGCGCTTGCATGGTGCAGTGTACAGGGCACGGAAGTCCTGTCCGGGGCGGGCAGGATGGATGCTATTGGGAGAGCGGGGAGGGTAAGAGGATGAGGAGGGATCGGCGATGAGGAACAAGAAAGTGATAGTCTTCGATCTGCGCGGCGGTTTTGATGCTATAAGTATGCTAAACTGGCGGTAGCAGGGAAGCTCGTGAGGAGATTCAGGCTTCCGGTGCTCATGTAGCCTCGAAATGCAACTGCTATGCGCATACTACCTTCTCTGTGTGCGCAACTTTCGCAAATGGGCAAACTCGGAAGACATGATCCTTACATCACCCTTAAGGTTAGAGCTGTTCATTTTTGGGCTCAACGTCCGTGTATATGGTCTTCCTACATGTATTGGACTCACTGATGATCAAACAATATGTTATCTCCGGTTCCTGGCGGGAGAGGGCGCGGTGGCTGGCGGCTCCATCATCAGGAATATTGTTTCGCAGGGTACTGCGGCGCTAGAAGACCAGTTGGAGCGGTGCATAGATCCTGCTAGATAGCTGCCATAATCTATTCATGCAAGCGGAATCCTTCGGCTGCAATTTGGAGGACAGGGAAGGGGCTGTTGCTAAATACAGTATGCTGCGGCATGGCTCGATCAGACCAACACGTCTAAATTCATCCTGTGAATGTGGACGTTGTTGTCGGGCTGTACTTCTTGAATAGCTCGATCGACCTTCTCTTTGGGGGTCTACTTGCGAAAACTCGAACTGTCCATGTGAGCGCCTACTTGTCAACCACGGCGTATATAGCGCCATTCGAACACCGGTCGCATCAAGTCGCTGTGACAGTCAAGGTTGGTATAGAGACCGAACAGGAAGGTCACTTCGGCCTGTAAGCCATAGGAATCGCGCCATGGGTACTGCATCCGACTGCATGATCGATCAGCACTGAAGCCGACGATACCAGTAAGTGTACCTGCATGATGGTTGGGCAAAGGTAGACCCTACAGCCAAAGAGTAGCCTGGATGTAGAATATGTAAACTAACGCAAGCCATCATCCCTCATACATGCAGCTAGCTCTACCATGCAGCAAGCCCATAGCGGAGGGGCGTGGGGTCATGGCCCGACGTAAGCGCTGGTTGCGATTGCGTTCTTGGCACTGGCGGAAGATTGACGCTCAGGGAAGGTCCTTAACCGTCGCGTGAAGATCGTCGCAGGGTCTAAGATACGAGGAGATCATGGGAGATCATGCCGCACGCGCTAAGTATGGAAGTGACTAGCGTAGCATGAAGGGCATTGCTAGTGGACTAACTTGAAATGCATAAGTGTACAATGCGTGTGGCATCCTTGTGTAAAGAAAGTGAATTATAGGTTGTATCGTGGGAATCTGCCTCTTTGGGAGCTTGCGAGATATTGACTCAGACGTTTCCTTTGGGTTAGCAAACGACTAGTACACGCTTGATATGAGGTATCATCCGTTTCTACCTGCGTGCCATGTCGGCGAGCTGGTTCCTCTAGGTGCAATAAGTTTGCAACACGTCACGCGTGCCTGCTACCATAATAATCATGTGATGACCCGTTCTTGTCCGTAGTGACATGCCTCGAGAGCCGATCCTTCCACCTAGACGTTGGTGCAGACAGCTGTCACTTGCTGGGACGGGAATATAGCGGCTACTCGAGCGATGATCTGTGCGCGTTCCTCGAGTTGAGATGGACGATGTGAGAAGGTTAGCCTAGGGTCTTGTTGACACCGGGTCGTGATGGTATGACAGGAGGATACCGAGACATCGTGAGCGATGCCGGCTTGGTCTGTGCGCTACACACGTGCTACGGCGGGATCTCGGCACCGGCCAACATCCGGACTTGAGATGGGAGCGGGTCACTGGAGAACCAGGCCAAAACACCACGCGACACCCCTTCGCCTCTACAGCTTCGCCAACTACACCTTAAGACGGCTCGTAGGTCGCCTTAGTGGGCGGAGCACCTCACGCAACAGGCAGGAGGCATCTTGCCATGCTCACATCTGCCGACAGCGGCGCGATCGACACAGCGGCAAGACGCCATTCCACCAGAGCCCGCGGTCGTTCTGAAAGGGCTTGGAAGTGTATCTTTCCGCTGCACTTTCCTCAACTTCGCAGGCTTACTGCACGTCTAGACCTCATGTCGCCACCAATTGTGTGCCTGGACTACGGAAACAAGAGCTGTACGTGACCGGACGAGAGCCTTGCAAGGCGATCATGTCATTCCGCGCTGGCAAGAGCGCTACCCAAGACATTGCAGGCCCCGATTCGCCCATCTCCCTCTTCTCCTGTTGTCTTATCGGAGGTGTGGCTAATGGCCAGGTTAACTATATTGATCTGCATCATGCTAAATCCCAAAGAAGGAGGTGGTTTCAACGCCTACGTGCTTTTAAGCTTAATGCTAGCGGGTCTTGGGGTGTCAACGGATGGCGCTGCAGCTGCGTCGGATGACAACACTGAAGTATTGCATGCTCAATACAGCCGGCCATTCGAGGGTTGCAAAAAAGCATGATGGCACGCTGCGGCGCTGCCGAACAGCGCTACGACAGCGTAGCCGGTCTTGCCAAGCCCGCCAGATAAAGTCGAATCTCAGGATCTGATTGGTTCTTGATCAAATCACGTCTCTATGTCGCCTGAAACGGGATCGCTCTAACGACCAGTCGAGAAAGCGACCCTGTTGTGATTGGAGTAAATCCCGTTGGTGATCTCATCTAGCGAGATTGGAGATCCATGCGGATATGTAAGGGATGTAAGACTCAGGGTAATGTGTATGCAATTGCCATCTAACAGTTACTTGGGCCGGATCTCCTCGTCACGTCATGCATTGCACAAAGAGGATGCATCTAAATCGTGTATTTGGCTCGACACTATCTGCACGTTAGTCTCGTGCAGTGTCTATGGCGGTTGCCTCGGTACTTTGATGTACGAACTACCCTTCAGCCAGTAGCGGCTCGTCCCGTGCCCTTGGGACTTGCCGTCAGGGATGAAAAAGGAGCACATCATGGTGGTTCACTTGATCCGGGTAGGCAAGCGTGCTATGCCCGAGTCGTATTTGCCCTGTGCAACAGTAGCCAACAGGCAAAGGCGACGGGACACATTCCACGAACCCCGGGCGATAACCCTGCATGAAACAGCTTCATTTGACAGTCGACCTAGTACTGATCCACTCAACACCTCTACGCCGTTATCAGGACGTCTGTAGATCGATCTGTCCCATCCAATCGCGTCAGCGCACCGATTTCTACGTTGAATCTCTACGCGACGTTGTTCCCATCCCTAAACTAGTAAGCATGCTAATCTATAGTGCATTCTGCCAAGACCTGCGCGTCTGACCTGCTACTCGCAGCATGCTCCTCCTTCTCTAAGACTTTCCGCCCGCTCTATTACCGCTGCTGAGGTGGGGTGGAAGCAAGTAGTGCCGGAACACACTGTAGCACCTACCCAACTGGGTATCGGAGTGGTTCAAACGCCATCTCAAGCCGTTCTAGCGACTAACAACACTTTGTGCTGTGGTTCAGGTACGTCGGCATGCCACGAGACCGCCTTGTCGGTGGCTGCTAGTCCTTATTGGAAGGTGCATTTGCCTCCTGCCATCTCGTCTCAACATCAGGTTATCAAGCACGTCTATATAAGAGGTACCAGACGCCCTTCTACATCAGCAGGCCACGAGCACAGCAACACTCAGCCCTCATCACTAGTCTTCCTCGTCTCTCGCTCCAACGATCTCATCTTCGATCAATCAGCCAACATGAAGCTTTCACTTCTCCTCGCACTTTTGCCTGTGGCTCTTGCCCTTCCCGCACCGGTCATTGTTCCCCGTGCTGGCGCTCCTATTCCCGGAAGATGGATTGTCAAGATGAAGAACGAGAACCTCCAGAACCTCATCGACGTCGCCTTGAAGGTTCTCAAGAAGGACCCTGCCCACGTCTACAAGTTCGCTGGATTTGGCGGTTTCTCTGCTGATATGGCCGACGACATTGTTGAGCTGCTCCGCAACCTGCCAGGTGTAAGCTATACAGCCTCAGAGGATCATATTCAGTACTAACATAGTCCAGGTCGACTACATTGAGCAAGATGCTATTGTCAAGGCTAACCTTGGCGAGTCGCACCTCGAGAAGAAGGCCTACACAACTCAGTCTTCTTCCACATGGGGTCTTGCTCGTATCTCCCACCAGAGCCCTGGTTCCAGCTCTTACATCTACGACACCTCTTCTGGTGCTGGTACTTGCGCCTACGTCATTGACACTGGCATCTACACTGCCCACCCCGAGTTTGAGGGCCGTGCTACCTTCCTCGCCAACTATGCTGGCGATGGTCAGAACTCGGACGGAAACGGTCACGGTACCCACTGCGCTGGTACGATCGGATCCAAGACCTACGGTGTAGCCAAGCAGACCAAGCTTTACGCTGTCAAGGTCCTCGATGCCAGTGGCTCGGTACGTTGACACACTCATCATAATTTGTATACTTTACTAACAATCTGAAGGGCTCCAACTCCGGTGTCATTGCCGGCATCAACTTTGTCGCCAACGACGCCAAAACCCGCAGCTGCCCCAACGGTGCCGTTGCCAACATGTCTCTTGGAGGATCTCGCTCCACTGCTGTCAACTCCGCCGCGGCCAACGCAGTCAGCGCTGGTGTCTTCATGGCTGTCGCTGCCGGCAACGATGGTGTCGATGCTCGCAACTCCTCGCCCGCATCCGAGCCTACTGTCTTCACCGTCGGTGCCACCGACAGCTCTGACCGCCTCGCCTCTTTCTCCAACTACGGTTCCGTCGTTGACGTCCTTGCTCCTGGTGTCTCCATTCTCTCCACCTGGAACAACGGTGGCACTGTAAGTTTGAGTCTATCCATATTCCCATCAAAAGCTAACGATGCGAAGAACTCCATCTCCGGTACTTCCATGGCTACTCCTCACGTTGCTGGTCTCGCCGCCTACCTTCTCGGCTTCGAGGGCAAGAAGACCCCTGCCGCTCTCTCCAGCCGCATCCAGACACTTTCGCTTAAGAACAAGATCTCTGGTGTTCCTTCTGGCACCGCAAACTACCTTGCCTTCAACGGCAACCCCAGCGGTTAAGCATTTGCTTTCTTGGCGGCTCTTTACGGGTGTTGCATTCATGTTTGATCTAATTTTGCATTGTTAGAAGTTGAAGATTTCCTTCCTTCTTTTCTTATGAAGTCATGATGGCGGTGGTTGTTTCTTGGTTGTCGATAGCACCAATGGAGACATAATCTATGAAGTTACTCATCCGAAAATGTCCCAGTGCTGTTTCTTCGTTACCTTTATTAATATGTCGCCTCATGATCTCGATCGCCTTCCAAAGATGGGGATACAGAATACCATCTCGTCACTACGGCCTTTGAATGTGGAGATCGACATCACGAAAACGGGCTTTGTGATACCGTCACTAATGTTCTTGTGGGGTGAGCTTACGCTAAGCCTCGTGATCATGGCTATATCTGACGCCCATGTGTCACGATGGATCGTTCATTGTTTCGAAGGAAGTACCGTTGACCTTGTTGTGTCGTAGGTGGCTTTGTGAGGCGTGGCCTTGCGCGTTAGCATAACGGTGCCGCGTCCACATGCCCTGCACGGTCTTGCATAGGTAACTTGGCTCATGCAGGGTCTACCGGCACATGCGTCTACTCAAACAAAGAAAGTACCTTCCTTGGTCTTGCGAAGATCTGGCCTGTAGAGATGTGCACATGGATATCTCTCAGTGCAACGATTGATAAGACACCACGATCTTCTACCAAACCATACTGACCCCTAACAAAGCTTTCCAAATTTACGCATTACCCTCATCTTTGTCTAACCTCTGCAACCTTGGACGACTAACAATAGCTTGAACGAGTACCACGCATCATACGTGACTAGCTGCATGCGGTACCAAAGGCTGAAGGGTCTTCCCCGCATTGTCGAAGCTATATTTCAGCGTGGTTCTCGGAAAATTCAATCTCGCCCCGCAATTCCAATAAGGAGATATTGCGGTTAAGGCTGCAGCCGCCATCTCCCTTCCGCCAGCCGCCTCGGTGCACGGACCAAGGCGAAGTTTGGGACGCTTTCAGGGTTCTCGCGATGAGGTGCGCCACCAACGAAGAGCTCAACTGCCGCCTCTGTCTCTTTCATCTGCGCAAACACATCACGCAGCGATACGACGCGTACTATGTTTGGATCTCCACATTGCACGAAAAGTCAGATGATCTCAAAACAATATCGACGCCTCAGACCATGAATGACGCATTTTTGCGCGTTGCGAGCTGACGGAAGCTCGCGTCGCGCCGATGCACCTCAGCGTTTTGACCACACTTTCAAACTTCCACAACCGTGATAGCAAGCTGCGTGGTGAACATCGCCCAACACATCGATAAAGTATGTGCGAGCATACGGTGCTCACTCCGCCATAGGACATTCTGTTTAACAAAGACCGCAAGCGTTGGTACTATGCACACCCGCGCTGTCAGCAGCGGACCAGGCCTGTAGCTCTCGCACCACGACCGGTGCATCCACCGGATCACGCCCGGAACAAGCCTAAGGTTCGCCGTCATAGATATTGGGCAACCTCGAATGCTCAGATCCTCCGATCGTCCTCCGTTCAACTCCGGATTTATCGAACTGCTCGGTTCCAAAACAAAGCCAACTGGCGCATGAGCCCTGCAATCCTGAACATGGCATAACACAGCTGTCAGAGTTGTTCAGGGTGGTCATGAGGAGTTTCGAGTATTAGTTTCCCCAGATCGATGTTTGCGGAAGGCATTTGGATGATGGATTCGAATACAAAGGTCTTACGTCCGTAAGGGGCATGGAAAACTAACCATTGTCCTCGTACGGCGCTAGTCAAATGATGCCCTGACCCAATGCAGGAGCATTCTGACTGAGAATCTCGGATCATCCAATCCTTTCCGGCCGCCTGTATCTTGGACTGACGTTCAGTCTGTCAGGCAAGATGAGCGCTGCCAGACACTCTTCGGAATCCAAACCATGCGCGTTTCTAGAAAACACTTCCACTGATTTACTGATCATACACAATGTCATCGCATGTGTATACAACCTATTCGACCAAGCTCCAGCTCCTAGTTTAGTCGCAGTTTCGTGTTTGTCGTCATGTCCACTTTACAGTGGGTCTGCCGAGGTACCGAAGAGTCAGTAATCGTACGAACCTTCATCGGCCCTTTTCTCTACCAGTATACAAAGCCTCCAGCACATGTCAAATCTCAACCAGACAGTTTCGAAAAGACCACACCAGTACACAGCATGGAATCATTCACGGCAGGCGACATCACCCACCATAATGGCGAGATCACACACTACTACGAAGGCGGCTCAGCAGACGGCACACCCCTAATCTTCATCCACGGCTGGCCCGACATAGCAGAATCATGGAAACATCAGCTCACCCACTTCGCTGCCGGGTCGAAATATCGTGTCATCGCACCCGACATGCGCGGCTATGGCGACTCAACAGCCCCAAACAAGAAAGAGTCCTACGCTCTCGAAGTCCTTGTCCCGGAGCTCGTCGAGTTTGTCGAAAAGCTAGGCATTAAGAAGGCCATATGGGTCGCCCACGACTGGGGTTGCGGTGTCACGAATGCGCTTGCCGCACACTACCCTGAACTCTTCATCGCCGTGGCAAACCTCTGCGTCCCCTACCGATCCATAGAACTAGGCCTCGAACACCTCAAGAGTACCATCAACCGCGACATCTACCCCGAAAGCGAGACAGAATGGGGGAATTGGGAATACCAGCGGTACTACGAAGTAAAACCTGAGGAGAGCGTCAAAGCGTTCGACGGCCACTTGGACGTCATTACCAAGATCTTGTATATGAAGGGCGATGGTAGCAAGTGGGGTCAGCCATCACCTACAAGCCGTGTTCTGAGAGACGGGGGCTGGTTCGGTGGACATCCGGAGAATCTCCCTGATATCCCGCTTAGCTACACGTCGTTGGACGAGCATCTCTACGCCAGTCTACTCAAGAGTAAGAGGAAGCATGGATTCTTTGGTGCGAACGCGTATTACATGAACCACGCGGCGAATGTGGAGTATGCGAAGAGCGAGAAGAACGGGGGCGTGTTGGAGTTTCCGATGCTGTTTATTGACGCGAAGTACGATGCCGTTTGCTCGCCTAGTGTGCAACCGAAGGTGTTGGAGGGGATGAACCAGTGTGTGAAGAAGTTGACGTACGAGACTATCGAGTCGTCGCATTGGGTGCACTTGGAGAAGCCGGAGGAGGTTAATGGGGCGTTGGAGAAATGGTTGGGTACTTTGTGAGATATCCGTCGATAGCCGGAGCTGGTACGCAATTGAAGCGGTTTGCGTTCAGCATATGTGAAGTTTGTCTCTCAATTTATCAAAATTCATTCATTGATGAACTACCATGCCACTACAGGAAGCACCGAATTTCCGTTGTGTCCATGAACTGTATACCGTAAGGCGGCATAGCTTGCGCGACCACTATCCCGACAGTATGGTCTGACCAACATAGTTGTGTACACTAGCCAATCCTCATTGCCAGAGATCGCACGATCTCGCGAGACTTCATGCGCAAGCCTACGACCCCGTCAAGGAATGACTATGGACAGTGGCGACGAATTGTTGGCACCGACACAAGTTCTAGCAGCTGTACCAATACCTTCTTCGACGATTGCTGCATGCACATGCACCCTCGTTTCCTTACTACCCCACGACTCGTGGGCAGACTCATCGACATTTCCCCGTAAATCGAATCCTCATAGCGTCTTTGTGGCGCTCGTGATAAGGTTTTTCATCTCCTACTAGTCATCGAACTCCTATGACAAGACGCTGAAATTTAGCGCCCATCGGGTACAACAACAACATTATATAGGAACCCGCATCATAACAGACCACATAGCACAGCGCTCTGCTAGAGGTAGTACGATCTTCAATCGGTTCTTTGTCCAAACTCGTCGGATCTCAGGCATCTTGCTTCCCGTGGTCACGGTCCGTTGGTGCTGGATCCTTCCCTTTGGTTATCTGGACGCCATGTATCTCTCAAGGTAAGTACGTACCATCCGCGGGAAACACCAATGCCCCGCTAGACTCGCTGTGTTACTTGTGCGACCAAGAGCTCTACACGGCTGAGCATCCGGCCCGTCGAAATGACGACTGACGAGTAGCATCGGAGCACCTTGAAGCGTGCACCCATGCCGTCAATTCGTGAACCAGCAGCATGCGCGCTGTCAGATAACGGTATCTTTTGTGTTCTTGTTGGTGTTGCAAATCAGCATGCGCTCGCCAGACAGCATGCCCTAACGTGGTCCGTGAGAGGTCGCACTGCCTGTGCGTACGTGCGAGCGCTGTCGCTAACTGGTCCTTCGGATTGCGCCATTGGCTCTCGAAGGAGCAGGCCATCTTTGGTACTGGCTTGTGTTATACGGCATCTGTATTTAAGCTTCGGTTCTGCCGCTGATGCAGGTACAAATTAACGTGAAGGATCTGACCCCTCGCCTTTTCTGCACAGTCTTGTCTATCCTCTCCAACAGATTCAGTTCCAACAATTCGGAGATATGTATACTCCAGTACTCCTCACTCTTATCTCGTTGACAGTTGCTGCCCGTTGACCAGGGTCGACGGGTCAGATGCCATCGCTGGGAAATGGATTGTCAAGATGAAGGGCGACGTAGCAACGCAAGCTCACGATGACCTGATGGCTTCCATGTCAACAACACCCGACCACAGATACGTAATGCCTGGATTCCGAGGGTTTGCTGGCATTATCTCCGAGGAAGAACTTGTTCGACTCCAGGCTTCTGAGCATGTAAGCTAAACGCCCGAATTAATATACCTGAACTAAAGTAATCAGGTTGAGTACATCGAACAGAATGTTATGGTCCACAGCAACGACATCGTGCAACAGTCGAACGCTACATGGGGATTAGCTCGTATATCTCATGCTGAGCCATATCAAACGAATTACCTTTTCGATTCCAGCGCCGGGGAAGGTACATGCGCGTATGTTCCAACCGTATTCGCGCATGTCTGAACTTCGCTCACAAAGCAACCATAGATACGTTATTGACACAGGCATCGAGATCGAACATCCAGAATTCGGAGGGCGTATGTCTGAATCGTTCGGCTTGACAGATACGCGCTAACGAATTGAAAGGTGCTTTCTTCTTAGCTGACTTCAGTGGTGAGGACACCATGATCGACGGTATGGGCCACGGAACTCATGTGGCTGGTACAATCGGTTCGATGACTTGGGGCGTGGCGAAGAAGACAACGCTGCTCGCTGTCCGCGTACTGGACTCGTTCGGTTCTGGTACGACCGATGGCGTAATTGCAGGTATGGAGTATGTTGTTACCGAGGCAGCAAGAAGCAGGGAGGCCGGAGAATGTCCCAACGGTTTTGTGGCCAATATGAGTCTTGGAGGGCGTAAGACGCAGGCCATTAATGATGCTGTGAGTAATGCATTCCGTCTTTTATCATACATTCAGCTAACAACGATCTAGGCCGCTGCCATCGTCGCAGCGGGAATCTTCCTTGGTGTCGCGGCAGGTAATGAGGGAAGGCCCGCTGATTTGTCGTCTCCAGCATCTGAACCTAGTGTCTGCACCGTGGGTGCTACGGCAATCAACGATACGCTCATCGAATGGTCCAATTATGGCCCTATAGTCGACATTCTGGCACCCGGCGTTGATATCACCAGCACATACCTCGGCGGAACTATCGAGACGCATTCTGGAACTGTAAGTACATTCCCAGATAGAAGTGTCGGTGTGACACGCGCTGACTCTTTGCCCTCATCTTCAGAGCATGGCAACCCCGCATATCGTTGGCTTAGCCGCGTACTTCATGGGTCAAGGATGGCCAGTGGAGGGTTTATGCGAAAGCATGGCTGGCGTCGCGACAAAGGGCGCGATAGATGAGAGTACCCTCCATGATAACACACCGAATTTTCTAGCTTTCAATATGGCGGAGGCATCCGATCAGTACGGCAAACGTACCGTGCGGGTCGCGTAGAATCGTCAAAGTTCATCATCAGCTGGAAACGTCTGGCATGTGGATTCGGTACTATAGTTTTGACGAAGGGGAGACCCTGGGAAGCAATATCGAAAAGTTGTTAAGATTGACCCTGTCCCTTAGCGCATGCTCATAGATCGTGCGGATCGAGCCGTGCGCAACAGCACCGGTCATTGAGACGGGAAGATGCATGAAACTCACCTGCCGTGCCGTCTCACGTCAAGTATGTCAGCCTCATCGGTGGTCAGATCCCACCTATGGCGATCCAGACTCGCCAGTGAATGCCTCCGATCTCAATGGCTGTCGCGACTGATGCGCGATGCATGTAGCCCTAGATCTTAAACTCAAAGCGCTGATGTCGCCCAAGCCTGCCACGCCGATCGTCGCTGCACTAGTCGGCTGAATCAGCGCGCCCGGCCACTCATGAGGCGTGACATCATAAAATGCGGGGTAAAGACTTGCGATAATAGGCTAGCTTGTCTGCGAGCCCGACACTTTGCAGAACCTCCAAGCCTTCCAAGAGCACTGCCCTCACCTGAGCTCTTTTCTATCCCGCTCCATATCTGGCCCATTGGTATCTGCGGACTTCAAACACGCATCATCTTTACTGGGGAGAAAGGGCCACTCTAGAAGTCATGGCGTCATACTTTGACCTCCCGCCGCAGAAGGCGCCGCCAGCTACGAATATAGATCAGATGCCTCAGGGCCAGCGCAAGCAACTGGGTCGCATGAACAGTTTGATGTCCCCTGCAGTTACACAAATCCTGGAAGGTCTAGGCGACGAAGATTCGGACAGTGATAGCATTGAAGAAAAAGACCCATCCGAAGAAGAAGATCAACGTGCCGCTCAACAAAACACTAAGCCAGCACTCGACTCTCAGAAATTGCGCCAAGACAAGCAAAAGCACGTCGCTGCCCAGGCGCCTCGCCCTTCCTCTTTATCACCAAGCAGAAGTTCCCTGAAGACGACCAGCAAAAGCTCTGGCCATTCTAAGCCGTCTTCGGCGCATGGCAGCGGAGATAAGTCCGCAAAATCCAGACAAAAACAGCCGCACATGACGCGATTCCATTCCCTGCGCAGCATGCTTTTTCAACAGAGGATTCAAGACCAGATGAAGACTGCCACGCAGGAAGATTGCCAGAAGGAGCAAAATGCGGCAGACAAATGGCGGTCTCAACACGCCGAACGCCAGATGCATCATCCGGGAACACCTGACCAAGATGCTTCAGGAAAAGGTGGAATTGGAAGTAGGATCAGGATGACAGTGAGAAGAATGACGACCAAGGACGCAGGGAATATGGAGAAGATCAGGGAGGATGGTGCGCCAGTCGAGTTCAATGATCGCGCATCGACGGCTTCGTCTGATAACGAGGAGGATCAACGAGAAGCATCAACTTCTCGCTATGAAAGTGACAACGAGAGCATCGACCATTCTGATGTGGACGAATTGGTGCGATGGGTCAGTCGACGAGATCCGCCTAGCGATGGGGAACGTCGAAAGGGCGGCGATGAGGCGGAAGCCAAGGAAGACAGTGGCCATGAGAGCCTGGGGTCATTAGATGTCGATGATCTTGTTCGCTTCGCCAGCAGGAAATCTGACGCAAAAGAGACCAGCACCTTCAATGACGGACACTCAGGATACAGCGACGCATCGACCGAATCCGACAGTGAAATCAGAGAAATATCTTCAGACGAGGAAGAAGACGTAGACGACCTAGTTCGGTGGATATCGCACCGCGACGGACCCAAAGCCGGCCCCGTACGCCGCAACCTTCAACGACCCGAATTGGATTCCGACGTAGGGGAGCACTACGACTCCGACGTTCCCGAACTAGGCCGCTGGTTCAAGCGCCACGACGGTACGAGCGGTGAATCCGCAGCAACAACCCCAGTCAAAGAAACCTTTGACGAAATCGACGAAGAGGAACAGCGCGGCCGCCCAAGAAGCCGCGAGTCCATCGAGCCAATCAAAGAAAAACGCCACATCACCGACGAAGACGTCGACGAGCTCGTCCGCTGGGTCAGCAGAAAGGACTCCAAACAACAAGACTCCCCCGTACCCGTTTCTGAAAACCCAATCGACCGTCTCAAGCGCGAGGAGGAAGAGAAGCAAGCACGAATCGGCATGAGTGTTGATGACAGAAGTCTTTCACACTCTGATCTGCAAGAAGTTGTAGAACATGCAAGGAAAACGAGCGCTGATATGGTTAGCCCTCCGCCTGCATCACCGTTTGCGGTCGAGACGGGCGACCTGAGGGTGCTGAGGGATGAGAAGACCAAGGCGACACCTCTGGACCGCGATTCGCAGCGTGATTTAGATGGGAAGAGGGAGAATCTCGATGAGAAGAAAGAGGAGCTGGGTATGAGTCTTGATGATGAGAGTCTGAGTCATAGTGATGTGGCGGAGTTGATTGCGCATGTTAGGAAGAACTGAGGGATGGTTAACGCGGTTCGCGATGAGCGCGAAGGGATCTAGTCGGTAATATCTATGTTATGAGGGATTCGCGGAAGTCCGGAAGCTAGGCACGGGATGTGGATGTGGGTGTGTGGGTCAATCGCGAGACGTGGGAGGATCTATTTCTGTTAGTCTGGGGTTTAGCACGTCGTTTTATACCAATTGAAGATTCCGTTTCAAATATGATCCCATTTCGAAATGGATATTGAACATGCAAAAGATATGGTATTCATACAACATAAACCGAAACGAAAAAGAATCTATATCGCAAATGCAAATCCCAAACCCTTCAAATGCAAGACAACCACGCCTCAACCCCAACCCCCTCAATCCAACTTCAGTGCCTCCACCCCCTCAAACTGCAACCTCCTAAACATCCCCCTAATAACCCCACAATTCCTCTCCCTCTCATCATCCCTCCCCCTCATCTCCGTGCGCATCTTGCCATACATATTCTGCCCATCCCCCCTCTGCCCCCCTTCCTTGATATTCGTAAAGAACATGCGCTTCCCCGTACTATCCAATGGCTCCCACTTGGCAATCTTTACATTCTCCCTTGGAATAACATCATGTTCGCGGTTCGGATCAAGAAACTTGATGAAGCTGATGAAGTAATCCGAAATCTCGTTTTGGCGGCGCACCATGACTTGCCCGACTGTGCCGGCGTGCTTGGTGCCGTAGCCGTTCTCTATGTCGGGCCCCCACATTACGTCCCATTGGTATTGGTAGGTGGGTACGGAGGGCGGGTTGTGCAGCGACATGGCGTTGGAGGCGAGGTAGGTTGGGCAGATGTAGCGGATGTCGCCTTGGGCTTTGGCGACGGCGTCCCACCAGGCGCCGCTGTCGGGCCAGTGGCGGTCGTTGGGATAGGTTTTTACGAGGGTGGAGAGGTCTTCGTCGGTGAGGAGAGGGTAGTGATCTTTAAGATAGGATTTAAATTCGCCTTCGTTGTCTGTTGTTTTCTTGACTTGGTCGGAGCCTTCGTTCGAGGTGAAGCCGATGATGGTGGGGACTTTTGCGTAGCGGTCTGCCATTATGGCTGCTGGGGCGGGCGCTGTGAACATGCCGCCGGCGGGCTCGGTGGTTGGGGCCCACATCCAGCGTGGGGGAGTGTCGCGGCCGGGAAAGTTCATGGGGTAGTTCTCGTAGTAGAGATCGCCTGTCGCTGCGTTGCGCACGCAAGCGATGTCTGTGCAGTTCAATCCATCTGCGACCTCGTTGTAGAACTTCTCAGCTTGATCGGGGGTGAAGAATGTTGGGCTCGCAGGAGACTGGGCGATGGCGCCATGGAAAAGCTGCTTGCGACCGACGCCCGGAACAGGGTGGTAGTTGTCGCCCTCATTGGCTGTTAATTGCAGCATCACGGACGCGCCGCCAGCGCTTGTGCCCATGATGACTACATGGTCTGGGTTGCCTCCAAAGTACCTGATATACTTCTGGACCCACTCCAGCGCCGCTCTCTGGTCGCGAAGCGCGTTGTTGTAGTCGCCGTCCTTTGCAATCTCTTTGCCAGAGAGGAAACCGTAGATGCCGTTGCGGTAGTACATGGTGACTACAACGATGCCCTTGTCGAGTTTGCCGTCCACGCCCTTTTCACGACGCGCCTTCTCTACCATCTCGCCTCCATTGCTCCGTCCTGGGAGATGGAACCCACCACCGGGGATGTTGACCAACACTGGTAGGTCGTCGCCTGGCTCAGCATCAATTGGCGTGAAGACGTTCAAGCTCAGACAATCCTCAGTGGAACGAGTCTTGATACCCAGAACGTCCGGTCCTGAGATATCTTCCCTGTTCCTCTGAGTTGGATCAATCTTCTGAATTCTTGGGCACATGCCCAATGATCCATCCCACACCAGAGGCTTCTCGCCTCGACCAACGCCATATGTCCTGTTCACCGGTTGTGGTCCGCGAAACCTGTTCTGGCCGCCTGCGTCTGCGGCATACGGTATGTTCCAATAGAACCTAACCTTGTCCGAGACGTTTGGCTTGATGGCTAGGTAGTCTAGCTCGACGATATTGGGATCTTCGCTGTTCTTCAGCGGCGCGGAGAAGGTAGAGGTAGGTTTCGAGCTGAGAGGTGGTAACCATTCAGAGCTGGGCCGTAGGTCGGGCGAGTAGAGGAAGGCCAATGTGAAGGCGAGGACGACAGCCGCTGTGAGGGCGAGGATAACGCGTCTGTCGAAGATGAGGCTCGAATTGAGCGGGCGGATTGCCATGGTGGGCATGTATTGGGGGTTGCAAAAGAGTGTAAAGTCGCGTACGAAGCGCTGAAAAGTTATTGCAATACCGTTGAAGTATGCATCTGCGTCCAGAATATGAAACTCAGGGATAGAGAAAAGATAGACTGCTCACGGAGACAGTGAAAGTGTCCTTCGGCGCTGTCGCAAGCCTCCCAAGCATCCATGGCTGCGAGTTTCCCTGTCTAGCCCGACGGGAGGACGGAAGAGGCTAAGGGGGCGGCAATCGGCACCATCCGCTTGGCGCTGACGCGTATCGCATTTCGTGCGAATGCCATGGCGACGCATCACCATACAACGACGGGTGCGCAACGAGCTGGAGAGGGTGGGAGAAGGCTCGGCAGCTACACGGCTGAGGTGTGAGGTTTATATTTAACGACAGGGTCCAGAACGCCTTCCCTTGGCTGGGGCGGGTAGAGGTCAGCAACTAGCGTGCGATGCACCTGGCCCCAGTAAGACGCCTGCATCACGGCTCTTTGAGCCACACCTTCAGCCACTTCCAATTGATCGAGCGCACGACTTCGAGCTCAATTACACATCCCTTCGATCGAGCATGTAACTTATCAGGGCCATGTTCCTGGATTCACACGAGATGCTGGTACCAGGCCTGCCTGCCGTATTCGTGGTGACGGCGAGTACTCCGGATCCATCAATCACCACGACAGCCCATATAGACAAGTAAAGGCGGACCTCCTGGGAAGCCATGGCTTTACAGCATAGAGTTTTGCGTGTCAGGTATGGTGTCATCGCGATCTCGTCCATCAAAACGGCAGAGCCGAACGTCTGCGCGCGTGCTGTGCGGCAAGACGTTCCCCTGAAGCTACAGTCTGGTATCATCTGCTGGGTCTGGCATACCTTGAGCATACCATTCACGATGAATCGAATTTCGCGGAGTTTGTCGCATTCTTACCTTCTCGCAGACGAGGTGACTACGGATTCGCTAGCATGGTATGCGTGCTCGAGATAGCGTATCTTGACCGTCTCTTACCTTTACCTTGTTGTGTACACAAGGGACTCAACTTTTAGCTCGTGGTCTCACCTTCAGTTGCGCTTGACCGCTGATACATAAGCCTATCTTTTGACACTTTCGTTCTTCAACCTCCTCACTTCTTTTCCCATCTACCTTCGAGCTCTCTCGTCACTCAAACCTACGGTCACGAGCGAAGAACCTGCCAGCACGGGTGTGCTATTTCCCTAATGGATACCGACGACAGCAAGATTCCCACGCACGATGGCACAGAATCGCCTCTGTTCGAGCCTGAGGTGCCAACAGAGCTCTTGATACCAGATCTACCCGCTCTGGCACCCACCGACGCTACGGAGATAATCGATTTATCATCGCTGACCAACGAATCTACTGGGGAAGAAGAACATGCTTCGCCGTACATTCAGAAGTTGAGGGTTCTTGAGGCCGATGCCAAACAAGAGATATCCAACTGGGATCCCAAATACCTCAGTCAAAATCCTGATGTTACTACGGCTGCACCAATAACGCGCACCAAGCGAAAAGGTATGTGTTAAATAGTGCTTTGCATGACTGAGCTAATTCTACCAGCCGCCGAGATGGAAGATGAACCAGACAGTGATCTCGACGACAATGACAGCGATGACGGGGACGATCGTGTGCCGGCTTACGACCCAGATCAGCAAAACCGGCCCAAGTTACCGCTCTATCATCCAGGCTTCAAGCTTACAGAGTCCACCGCTACCACCATACTGTCAACTATCGTCCAGTACATCACCAAGTCCATGAACAATGGATATGATGATGCAGAAGCGAAGCACCTTCGACATGAGATCGTGCAGAACAACAAGATTCCGTATCAGGAGATAGTCCGCATGTCTGTAGCTGGAGATACTGGCGCAGGCAAATCGGCTTTGCTTAACGCCCTCCTGGGTGTGGTCAATCTGAACGTTGAGGTAAGTCCGTTTATAAGAACGCAGGATTCATGAAACTGATCTATTATTGTAGAGTGACGGAGGAAGCGCTTGCACGTGTGTCATTACAGAATTTCAGCAAGCACCTCCGAGTCAGACCAAATCGTTCGCTGCTCAGGTCGAGTTCTTTGATATCACTATCTGCGTAAAAATGATCACGGATCTTTTTACCCAGTGGTGCAACGCAAAGCAAAAGCAACGACAGGATGCGGACGACCTGGACGACGAAGATTTGGATCAGATCAAGACTGCACGAGACTGCCTCCAATCTCTATTCGCAAACCGCCTAGAGCATGGTACAATCGAGAACTTTCTGTCGACGGCCACATCACCCAAGGATCAAAAAGTTATCAAGCAGCTGACTGTTTGGACAACGAAGATGCACCAAGGGTTTATCCAACCGGGCCAAAATTCAATCTACTTCGAGTCTAGTACCCCGGAAAATCTTGTTGAGATGTACCATCCGTTCACCAAAGAAGTCACACACGCAAGCTTTCAAGGGAAGCCATTGACCTGCTCTCCTTGGCCTTTTGTCAAGATCGTTCGGTAAGAGAACATCTTGCAACCTAATTTATATTACTGATATTCTGTAGGGTCTTTTTGAAGTCGCCCATCCTTCAACAGAACGTTATCGTTGCCGATGTTCCCGGCGGAGCTGATGTTAACTACTTCCGTAAAGACACTGCAGACCGCTATCTACAGAGCTGCCAAATGACTATCGTTGTCGCCAAGATCGATCGCATTTCCAACGACCTCTCATTTCGCCAGAAGTACGTTGATGCCTTTCGAAGAAGGCGAAGTGGCAGTGTGATCCTCGTCGGCACGAAGTCTGATGTAAAGAACTTTCAACCTAGTATTGGGAAACATACTAACAACTCGCTAGATTATGAACACCGAGATCAATTCGACATTGAAATTTGATTTCGCGGCCGAGGACCAACTAGCTTCCATTGCCAACAAAGTCAAGGAGATCGAGAAGGACATTCAAATCATTGATACCGACATTGCTCACAACGCGCTCGATAAGAATGTCAAAGCAAACAAGCCGTTGAAGACACGCAAAAAGAAGCTCACATCGCGCAAGAATGACCTAGCAAAACAGTAAGCTGCATCCAATGCAGAATGCATACAAGACGACTAATTTGCATAGGCGAAAAGACATTCTCATCGTAGCGCGCAACAAGGAAGTGACCGTAGCTATGGGCGAAAACTATCGCGAGGACACCCGCGATGACGCTATCGCGGCCATCTACTGCGTATCAAATCTCATGTACATGCGTCATCTGCGCGGATACGACAAGACGGACCAATTGGCTGTTCCAACCATGACGCTTGATCAGACCCAGATCCCAGCTCTTTGCTCCCACGTCTATACTCTGTCTTCCCGTGGAAGAACCTCAGATCTGGATCATTTCGTCAGGGTCACCGTGCCTACGCTGTTGAACATTGTGCAGATGTCAGTTAGCACAACCACATTAGCAAGGTTGAACCATCTTACCGGAATCGTACAAGGCGCTCGGAAGGTACGTGAATCAAACGTTAGTTCTCCTAGAGTGAGAGACAACTAACCATAGCAGGACATCGATGCATGCATCAAACGACTATCTATGAAGTTCTATAAGACGGACATCAAGCTACTATACGATCAGCTGGCTGATCCTGCTTTGCAAACGAGATTTGACAAGGAGGCCATGAAGAAACTCACCGAGTGGGAAGATATGGTAGGCTGCTCCAGGGGTATACATATGTCCGGCCTTTTGCTAACACTTTGTCAGAATGCTGCCAGCCATAGGGCTGCATGTCGAAAGAAGGGTAAGTTGTCCCATCTCACATCAAGTAACACATAAGGTACTAATTTACGGCAGGTATCTACGTTCAAAAGAAGAAAGGCATTTCGATGAACTGGAACGAGGATTTCTTGTGGCCTGTCCAACCATATATCGACGTTGCATTCCGAACTATCATCGATGATTCATGCGAGATATTCAAAGCCGAGGCAACGCAAGACATCAAATCGATCATAGCAGAGCTAGATACTAGATTGAAGAGTACGCTCGTGGCTTCGGATTACTCAACCTCGACTAATTAACTGTGTAGATGATCCGAAAGCTTTAGCCTGTGATGCATACGGTGCTTGCTTCAAAGAGAACGTTAGCCTTTTCTACGAAACCATCGAACGGCATGTATCGGCAGCGGCAAAACTTCTCAAGAAAGGAATGATGTAGGCGCATTCCTCACAAATAAATGGTATGCATGTTCACTAACCCTTCTTTAGAAAAGTACACCTCAGCGCCATCAAACTTCGTAACGAAGTCGATTACTTCCCACGGGCAATGTCGGACATATATACTGAAGCCACCGCCAAGAAGGCTGCGGGCAAAGGTACGTTCACCCTGCCATAAACCCGCTCATCGACTAATTCCACAACGCAGGCAAAACCATGAAAATGGCCCGCTACCAGTACCTCAAGGAAGCCATTCCTGGCCCTATGGGTCCGTTCGCTCAGATCGCGGGTTACGCGAAGGCCGATTCCGCGAAGACCATCAATCTTGCCTGTGACGAGCTCCAGAAGAACTTGAACAGAATGCTGCAGAATGTTCAGACTGATTTCGATCGTATGAAGAACAGAAAGGACAACGATACAGAGCAGGGCAAGGCGTTCCGAAAGCAGCTCCACGAGCTGGTCGAAGAGGCACGGAGGATTCTGAACGGGGTTACCCAGGAGAGTCTCGACTTGTGCAAGCAGTACAAGTGAGAATTGAGGGTGCTGATGGAATGGCCTGTCGACGTAGCAGGGGCTTGATATGGATGGAGGCGGATGAAAAGTTTCTTCTTTCGCGGGGACATGACTGGACTTTTGCGCAGCATCATGATGGCGGCACACGGTTTCATTGCATCTTCGCTGCGGTACCTGGCTGGGACTTTGGATTTACTTCTCATACATGCTGGGATAGCTGCATCCCGTCGAGATAGTACATGTGTATGCAAATCAACATCGGTCCAACTCAAGACATTAATCCCACATCCTCGCTTTTGTTAGTTATTTGATTGGGGCTTAGTCCTCGGCTATCAGCATTGGGGGCTGCAACAGATCGAGTTGTGCATATGGAGGACCTCATACTAGTCGCGATCAAGTTAGTGCTGGCCTTGACCGGTTTCAGGCAAACGTCACATTGCGGCCACCAATCTCAGCCCGGCCAGCGCAACACTTCGGCTACCATATCTTGGGCGCGTCGCCGCTTTCCTTCTTGTTCTCTTTTCCAATCTACAAGGTGCGCAAAGACACATATCTCCCCTACTCACAGCTTCCATCTCACAAGGCGGCTTCGCCGTTCACGAGCGAACCTCGGCCGGCGTCTGCGTCCCTGTACGATCGCCGGCAACATCAACAGCGCCCGCGCCCTCCTAACCGACACTTCTAAATTGCGAGGTACGGCCTAATCATAGGCCGTCCACGCCATCAATTGCTATTACCAGTGAGCAGATAAGCCGTTTCGACACCTCACATAGCAAGACTAATCGTGTCTAGTGATCATTGCATAGAACAATTCGGTCAATGTCCGCTCCATGAGGCATATACGAGACAACTTCATTCTAATGACCCACTACACGAATTCGCCTCGCCTGCGATCTTTCAGACGGTCGACGGAAGCTACAATGGGTGTTCACAAGTGGATTTGTCATGGCAGACGAACCGCACAGTCGAAGATACCCGATGCGCTGAAGGTGTTGCCGTTGAGCAACCCTCCGATACCCTGGACCCAAGCGATTTGTTTGGGTTTAGCAAGAACAACTTGTTCGGGGATGTGAGTGTGTCGTTAGACACAGCCCATCCGGGGTATCACAGCATCGATGAGTACTTCGATTATGGTTTGTTAACTATGCCGGATTCTGAATCCCAATGTTCCTTTTCGCCAATCATCAGAGAGACTGCCGACGAGGTCTCAGCTCTCAACTCCCAATCTTCATTCTTCTCTAATTACGCTGTCTCCGATGTACAAGCTCCGGTGTTATTCCGTAGCCTCAATGCTTTCCAGCCGGCCAACGAGACTGCTGTGCACCTGCAGTCCACACCGAGCGAACGTTCCTCGACAGCAGAAGAAAGGTCTTCTAGACAATCTTCAAGCTCGCAAAGTAATGGCCACACCTCGGACGATAATCCAGTCGGAAAAATACAAATCGACAAGCACCCGGTGTCTCGACGTAGGCGTGTCACATCCGCGAAAAGCTTTACGTGTGGAGCATGCCCAGAGTCCTTCACATCCAAGAAAGACTTGAAGCGCCACCAAGATCATTCGTGCGGAGACAAAGGTCGTCCATTCGTCTGTACATGCGACCGGGACTACAAGCGCAAAGATGAGCTTCTACGACACATCAAGATACTTAACACCCGCGAGAACAATAATCGCCATAAAGCCAAAGACTTAGTATTCACACCAACATTTTCTTAGAGCAGCAACGAAGAGCACGAGTTTGGAGCGTTTTCATGTTTTGGTGGACGGCCGCCTTCGAGAGTGCACCGTCACCATTCAGGATACCTCGGCCAATCGGACGGATACGACCATGTCAGCATGATCATGAGATCAAAATCCTCTACTTAGTAGAGGTACGCAAATATGCCTGTTGCGCCACCCATTTCGAAAGGACCTACCAACACTTGTCTGTTCATTCAAACATGTGGTATTTAGCTGGCATTGATCGGATATCGTGGTCTATCTCACGGTCTGAGCAACGCTATTGGTAGGGGAGGGCGGAGTAGTTAACCGCCTTCCAGCCGGACGAAACTGGTAAAGTGGAGTTGCTGGCGTAAGGGTATAGGCGCGTTTTTGTTTGCAAAAGGATGGTTCCATCCCTATCGCTTTCTCAATTGTGCTGCTTTCTGCAGGCATTGGATGAGTTTCCTTTGTTCATCACATCTGCTGCAATTTCTTCGCTGCCGCGGTCAACGCCAGGCAAGTTGTTGGGTGGATGGGATCCATTGATGGGGAAAGCGGTGGCGTGCTCGTTCTTTCCCGCATGATTGTCCAGAGTGAGAGACCACCTGGCAGCATGCGCAAATGCACTGTCTTGTTTTGGCTGTTTACACATAAACAATCGCCCATTCACTCATTGCTAAATCTACTGAACGCGAAGGTGGACTCGTGTGATATCGAAATTCTTCCCGTTTAACAACATGTGTGCTGCGCCTGCCTTTTCTCGAGCCTTGCCATTCTTTGCTTCTCAGCTCTTCTCGCTTTCGCTAGCGCTGAACGCTGCGCATTTCTCTCGGGCTCAGTCTGCGATGCTTGATGCATCTCACTGCGCATCACAATGCCATCGTTCAATATAGCCTGTCGTAAAACCTCCGCATATGATCGGCGTTCAGCTAGGGCATACAGTGACTTCGAACTTTTGCGGCCACACAATGCCGGGAAGTCGCTTATGCACCGACGGAGTTCGAAAGCGTCCGTATTTGGAAAGACCCTCAATATGACCATGTACCTATCATTGTATCGAAAGTTGGCCTGACACCTTTCGCTCTTCAGCAAGCGATTCTGCTTCCTCTTTGCCGCTGTTCTCCAGTTGCTGGAATGTTGGTTTATGAAGTAATGAGCCTCCATCTGAACAGTTGTATGACGTCTCGAGCTTTGAAAATGGATGTCTTCCACGGAGTATACGTCGGCGTGATTATCGTTACGAAGGAAATGTAGTACACGCCAACGCCCAACAAGAAGAAGACCAATGGCGAGGAATCGGTCCAGCTGTCCGATAGGGGTAGTTCTCGTCTCCCTCTCCCATATCAATCTGATAAAAGCCGTACCGAGTTCTACCGATTGCCGTGGTCGGGTTGGCTGCCCACGAAGAGTTGGAAGAGTAGATTCTGCTTCATGGCTCTTCGCGGAAGTCGATAGCTCTTTTTCGAATCCCAAATCATGCTTCTTCTTCTGGTTTTCCCTTCTTGGAACCCGGTTTTGCAATTCCAAGCGGGTGAGTCTATTGTTTCGATCTCTTTTATCCACGTAACGGTGTTGCTGAAAGACTTGTGGAATCCAGAGCGGCGATTTAAAGAATCTACCATCGAGGTTGCGCAATTGGGCTGACAGTAGCCGATGTTGCGCGCAATTGAAAACTATCCTTTTGGGACATCTTCTCCACGATTTCTGTCTTCCTGCTGAACGCCTCCATGCGTTTAGTTTTCCCTGTCCTTGAATATCCTCTGATTGCCATTTTGTAGGACAGGGGCTCATACAAACATCAGTCGTATCGTCAAGACTTAATGGCATCAATTTCGTTGGCCTTCTGTCTCTGGTCAAACACTTGGTGCTCGTAGAAAGTTCTATTCCTTGAACATTTCTCATATGAAGATGGTACGTTTTGTGGTTGATCGGTCTTCGATAGCTCATCCCGGGGCTATATTTAGGGTCGATGAGACCAGAGTATAGCTTCGCAGACTTTGCAGGCCTCTCCAGAATATTGGTGTGATATAGTATCAACATTTTCGTCCGGATGCTGAACATGTCTGTTATCCTTGGCAGTAGCTCAAAGTTGCACTCGTCTTCTGCTAGCAACAGCTGTTGGCGCCAAAGTCGATCGGATTCGAATTCGAGCTCAAGAATCCGAGCATATTCTGAGTAAGCCAACGGATAAGGGGAACGCTGAAGCTCCTGCGGTAGTCGTAGAAGAAGATGATAAGGATGAGGACGAGAATCAAAATACCAAGGAATTGGTTGATCGCAAACCGGATTAGGTACTGATGATAGTTGCGGCGGCGGCGGCGGCGGCGGCGGCGGAAGAGGAGAATACCAACTAAAGCTGTAACCCGGTGGTGGAGGCTGTAGCAAAGGAATAAGAGGAACAAGGGGTGGAGGAGGTGGAGGAGGTGGAGGGGGAGGATGCCAAAGGTTCGGATGATCAGTCGGCCTCGTGGTATCAAGAACCTGTACCTCGGCCGCAGGCCATGGAATCCTTGCATTTGAATCATCAGGGGGAAGCTTGAGCACGCTACTCTGCTTCTCATGCAGATAAACACTGTCCTGTGCAATATCAGCTTTTGTTGACAGACATGTTAAGAGATAGCGTACACGTTCTTTTGCATACGGATTCGTAGGTGTTTGTACACGAGACGAATATCTTCCGGTGTCGGATTGTGCATAGAATTGCAGTTTTTGAAGAGCCTTCAGGTATCCATTGTGCGATATACCACCGCTTTTGGATCTCCCACTATTGACATGCTGACTGCGCTGCTCTATTGCTTCGACCCGGTTTTTCGACATTGTAACGTGGACTATCGTGTAATCGCTGGCTCACTACATCAAGGGTATTGTCCCTCAAGTACAGTCTCTTTGTAAATTGTTTATGAGCGAGTGTGTTGATGTTGATCAAGTTGTCGCGAGGCTAGGCCAAGAAAATGGCTTACATTGATTCTGCGGCCGTCCTTGATGTCCAATCGCTAAACCATGCTCAAGTAGCTTGCTAAGCCACCGGTACAGCCTCGCACTGGAACAACTAGGCTTGCGGCCTCTAATGAAACGTCTACTTTTCAGCCTCTTTTATCATTCCTGTATGCAGGCATATTGGCCAACTTACATCGCGAATGTGGCCTCCAATAGGCTTTCTATCAACCTGGTCGTTATACTGGTAGTTGTAGAGCTTCTGAAACATCACGCAGCGGCCACCAATGTCAGATGCCAAAACTTATGTACCGACAAACTTGACCGGAAGTGATACAAACGTTCGCGATACTGATGCTGCGGCCTCCAATCCAGCCACAATGTACATCCAGTACATGAAATTAGCCCCGACCTCTGCTCACATAGTACGAGATCCATACATGAGATCTGGCTCCACTTTCTTTGCGGCCTGTGTTGATATCCAACTCTTCTTAGACAGCGACGATGTACTTTGGCGGCCTCGAATCAACAGTAGAGATAGCTCAGAGATGCGGCCACATCTCACATCCAACGATACTTCATACCAGATGAATTTAAAGAACGTGATTGCTCGCGACGTAAGAGCACCGGAACACTAGCAACACCAACAAGGGACCGCACCACCTCACAGCCAGTGATGACCAGCCAGCATTCGACGGTAAGTTGATGCTGGTGTTTCACACATCGCGCAAAGTCTGATGCTTCTCAGAAACCTACCTACTCTCCTAGTAGTACTCTCGCAACTTTCGGGTCCGACAAGTCTTCTCGTAGTCTTGCATCTTGGAAGACCAAGACGGAAACGATGGCGACGCCCAGAACAGCGTCGACGGATGAAGAGCAGCCCGTGCGTCCGTTCGCATCAGTTTATCGATAATCCGGCGGCTAATAAAGTTCGTGTGTTCTAGCGAGATGGAGGTCATCGCCCTAAACTTACGGGCGAAACTCTGAATTCCGTGGCGAACGACAGCGCGCGCGAAATTGGTGACATGGCGTTAGAGCGATGGATTGGTGAAACGGGAGATGAGGGGCCTTGGAGTGTATATAGTCGACTGGCTAACGCATAAGGGGTGCACTGCGGAAGCGCATGATTGTACCGTAGAAGGGTATAATCGGCTTTAGGTCCGTGCCGCAGAAGAAACCCTGTAGCCCCAAGCTTTCGCTAGTTCCTTCTCTTTGCTTTATTCCCGTGAAGGCTGGCTTCCGTGATTGTGTATGTTAGTCAAATGCCAATAGAGTCACTGGAAGAAGCCCTCAGCGATCGAGCTCATGGTGACGGTATCGGGAAGAAAACGGGTAGGTCGGGAAGGTTGACAACTCAGTCACAAGGGCATCGTGATGCCTAGCGGCGCTGCTGCAAGCCTTGTGAAAGCGGTGTGGGCCATGGAAGGAAGAGTAACAAGGAAGGGAGAAAGATGACAGCCACACCCGCGCTCAAGGATGGAAGAGTAAGATGCCGTTACTTGACTCTGAGTCCAGGTGACGGCACTCCACAGCGCGCTAAAAGGCTTAGCGCGGAAGAGGCGCCCCCGCAGTCCACGCGAGCCTTACAACTGATCTGATCAAGACTCCCGACGTCACGAAGACACCTCAGATGTTTGAGTAGCGGGCCTCGCGACACTTTCTCCGTGGGCAAATCTCTTGCGTCCTTCCTGTTGTTGACCTCGACGGTGTCTTGGCCGTCACGGGGGCATCCCCCTAGCCAGGCCGCCAGCAGATATGACGATCGCGCTCGGGGTCCGCAGGCACACCTGGGCAGCGCGCATCCATTGGCAGGCATGCGTGCACCGAGTGGAAAGTGTGGCGATGCAGTCCAGGAAGAGTATTCGCCCATCTGAGCACTACCCCGGACCCTCCTTGGGGAGTGGCCGGGCTTCCGGTCCTGGCCACGATTTGACGATCCGTCATTTCCTAGCGAGATGCTAGCATCCAAACAACAAGATGCTTTTTTGTATCGTGTACGCGCCCATGTACAACCCTCGGCGGTACCTCTGGTTTGTTGCAGTATAAATGGGTCAATCCTGCAGGTACCTGGCCCAGACCGGTTTCATGCATGACAACTGTTATTCCCCACATTCACTCCAGCGGAGGGAATAATACTACCGTTCATCGCGTCATTGTGCTTTAGCAATGAATACCCCCAGGTAGACATCAGGTGGCCCATCACAGGCCGAAAAGAGCATTTTGTGGGTCAAGCGGTGACTGTGGTCTCAGAATTACCCTTGGCTACCGATATCGTGAATATTGGCACGGCCCTTCCACTACAGCCAGTCCCCACGTATATATTCTTGGGCAAACGGACCTTACTCTTTCTTCTTCTTTGCCGAACGCTCCTCAACTCTTGGGTAATATTGATAAACGCCGTTATGATCAATATTATTCTGCTCGGGCTTGCCGCCTATTCGAGCCTCACGCACGCGGTTCCTATATCGCCAGACCCTGCCGATGTCGCAAGTCTTCTTACTCGCGGTGCCGCAGTTGATGCTTGCCCCGGTTACACCGCCTCAAACGTAGTCGAGAACGAGAGCACTTTGACTGCCGACCTTACCCTTTCTGGAGATGCATGCAATGCATACAGCGATGATATCAAGGACTTGAAGTTGCTTGTGGAGTACCAGACTAGTACGTTTCAACACCTCTGCTTTGATTTGGCGCTTTGACTGACATCAAATAGACGACCGTCTACACGTCAAGATATACGATGCCGATGAGCAGGTCTACCAGGTATCTGAAGAGGTGTTCCCACGCCCCAAGCACGAGAAGGCCGATGCTTCAAATACGGCGCTTGAATTTGGTATCAAAACCAGTCCATTCTCTTTCGCTGTGAAGCGCAAGGACAACGGCGAGGTTTTATTCGACACGGGCACTGTCCCACTGGTTTTCGAGAAGCAGTATGTTCGCCTTCGCACTAAGCTGCCGGACAACCCCAACCTCTACGGTCTCGGTGAGCACAGCGACTCTTTCCGCTTCAACGCGGAGAACTACGAGCGTGTCTTGCTGAACGCGGAGTCTCCTCAAATTCCCAGGAATGCCAACTTGTACGGAACCCACCCCGTCTACTTCGACCATCGTGGCGACAAGGGCACCCATGGCGTCTTTATGCTCAACTCCAGCCCGATGCAAGTCGAAATGAAGAAGGCCGACAGTGGATACCAGTACCTTGAGTACAACACCATCGGAGGTGTCATCGATTTGTACTTCATGGCCGGTAGCAAGCCCGCCGAGGTTTCTAAGCAATATGCTGATGTAGCGGGCTACTCCGCCATGTACCCATACTGGACCTTTGGATTCCACCAATGCAAGTACGGCTACTGGGACGTCAACATGGTCGCTGAAGTCGTCGGCAACTACTCGACCGCTGGAATTCCCCTCGAAGTCATGTGGACTGATATCGACTACATGTACCTTCGCGAGGACTTCACGGTTGATCCAGAGCGCTTCCCTCTCTCCAAGATGCGTGAGCTTGTGCAGACGCTTCACTCGCGCGATCAGCGATACATCCTGATTCTGGACCCGGGTGTTCACGCTGTCGGTGGTCAATACCTCACTTACCAGAAAGGTCACGACATGGACGTCTTCTTGAAGGCCGCCGATGGCTCCGACATACTCGGAGTTCAATGGCCTGGTGAAGTCGCATGGCCTGACTGGTTCCACCCCAACACTGAGAAGTGGTGGACTGAGGAGCTCAAGATTCAATTCAATCCCGAGGCAGGTATCGATATAGATGGCATCTGGGTCGACATGAACGAGGCTTCGAACTTCTGCCAGGATGTCACGACCTGCAACCCTCGCCAGCAAGCGATTGACCAGAACATCCCGCCCCATCCGAGCAACGCGCCTCGACCTAACACTGGCCGCCCGATTCCTGGCTTCCCAGCTTCTTTCCAGCCGGGCAGCAACAACAAGGCCCGTGATGTAGAGGCCATTTCTGCACCACGCGCAGATTCTGTTGAAGCTCGCAGCTTCCAGTCTCTCCCTGCTCGCCAGACCTCCGACAGTGGCATGAAGGGTCTCCCCGACCGCGAATGGTTCAAGCCCGCGTACCATCTCAACAGCCATCTAGGTGATATTTCACGCCAGACGATCCCCATGAACACGACCAACTACGACGGCAGCTGGCAATACGATACCCACAACCTCTACGGCAACATGATGGCAGCCACGACCCGCGAGTCCATGCTAGCTCGTCGTCCCGCACTCCGTCCCTTCGTCTTGACGCGCTCCACCTTCGCCGGCACCGGCCGCAAGGTAGCCCACTGGTTCGGCGACAACTTCTCCGCCTGGGACGACTACCGCATTTCCATCCGGCAAATGCTGTCCTTCGTCTCCATGCACCAAATGCCCATGGTCGGCTCCGACGTATGCGGTTTCAACGGCAACGCCGACCAATACATGTGCGCCCGCTGGGCTACCCTCGGCGCCTTCCAGCCCTTCTACCGCAACCACGCCGAAATCAGCGCCATCCACCAAGAATTCTATCTTTGGGATGTCGTTGCCGACGCCGCCAAAAGGGCCATCGACACACGTTACAAGCTGCTCGATTACATCTACACGGGGCTGTACTACCAGACTAAAGAAGGCACGCCCATGATCAACCCCCTCTTCTTCCTCTACCCCGAGGACGCGAATACCTTCGGCATCGACCTGCAATGGTTCTACGGCGACGCCCTGCTCATCTCACCAGTTGTAACGGATTACTCCGACACCGTCACTTTCTACCTGCCCCAAGACACGTTCTACGACTACTGGACGTACGCCAAGGTCACCGGAGAGGGCAAGAACATCACGGTTAGTAATCTGGGCTACAGCGACATTCCCGTGCATATCCGCGGCGGCTCCATCGTGCCCCAGCGTGTTAACAGCGCCAACACGACCAAGGCCCTGCGCAAAGAAGATTTCTTGATCATCGTTGCTCCCGGTGCGGATGGCAAGGCGACGGGACGGCTGTACCTTGATGATGGCGAGAGCCTTGATCAGCCTGCTATCAGTGAAGTTTCCTTCTCGTTTGACGGCGGCAAGTTCAGCGCTACCGGCTCTTTTGGCTACGCT